GCAGTGGCAAAATAGATACTTTCAAAAGAGTGTCAGTGGAAACAATTTTTCTGTAAGGTGCTTCTCATACATATCATTATTTCATTCCACACATATCTGAATGTCTATTAAGTGCTCTGCCCAGGATGACATGGCCCTTGCTCTCACAAAAAATGACCTTAATCAGGTGATTACTTACACAACTGTCCATGTGATTAAAACTGTACTCAGTGTGGCTAAGAAATACAAGGTGTTCTGGGATAATCTGRAGCCCCACATGATTTGGGTGGTGGAGGATGATAGGTATGGTCAGGAAAGAATGCCATTTAAGTTAAGATTTCAAAGAAGAAAAGCAACTAACCAGATAAATCTAGGGGAAAGGAAAATGGGGGAAAAAACCCACAATGACTAGATACAGAGAGCTATGGCTAGATACATACACAAAGGCCCCAAAGTAGGAAAAAGCAAATCCCCAGAAATAGAGAAATTGAAAACACACTTCTCTGGCCCAAGCTGGGGGAGAGAGAGATTACGCTGGGCCTTCTACACCACAATAAACAACTTGGATCTTTAGCCTAAGGGTAAGGAAAATCATTAAAGGGCTTTAAGTAGAATTATAATATTAGATTTGTTTATTTAAAAATTGTTCCTGATTATAGCATGAGGAATGGCCTGGGAAGGGTAAGACATGGAGATGGATGGAGAAACTGGACTAGGGAAGAGGCTTCTTAGCCATGGTTGGAGAGACAGCAGGATAACGATGACTATGGGCTAGCCATGGAGAGAGAGGGAAGCAGGTGCTGCCAGATGTTCAGAATGTGAGTCACGAGCCACCAGAATGACAGGGCACTCAGAATGACTCAGAGGTTCTGGTGTAAGAAACTTCAGATAGTGCTGCTGCTGATGATAATTTTCATTCATATCCTCTGAACCAGTAATTCTCCTTCTAGGAATCTCTCTTAAGGGAAATAACCAGGAACTTGGACAAGATTTGTTTGCAAAGATGTTCCCTACAGCAGTATTTACAAATTTAAAGCTTGTAAGAAATATAAATAACCCAAATAGAATTTTTAAAAAAATTATCATACTACCATAGAATGGACTAGGTAGCCATTTAAAAGTCACATTTAATGACAAGAGTAGCTGCTCAGAATATGTTAACTAAAAAGAAAAGCAGGTGTGAAAAATAATTCATTTTTTGAATACAAAAAGGCCCATGTTGATGAACATTAAACTGTAACCAAAGACTATCTACCTCTAGGTAGTAGTTCAGGTGTTTTTAAGGTTCTTGGGATTTTTCAATTTTTGTCTGTTCTACATTAAAGAAGTCATACTTTTTTAAAAAAAATTTATTTATTTTTATGTGGTACTGAGGACCGAACCCAGTGCCTTACAATGTGGAGGCAGGTGCTCTACCACTGAACTACAGCCCCAGCCCTAAAGAAGTCATACTTTTATTTTTATATTTTAAAATAACATTTCATGAACACTAACAATAAGCTAGATACTATTCCAAATGTTCTAGGCATATGAAATCACTTACTCTTGAAAATATTTTTTTTTTTCTTTTTAGTACTGGGAATTGAACCCAGAGGCGCTTAACCACTGAGCCACATCCCCAGCCCTTTTTGTATTTTATTTGGAGACAGGGTCTCACTTAGTTGCTTAGGGCCTCACTAAATTGCTGGGGCTGTCTTTAAACTTTTGATCCTCCTGCCTCAGTCTCCCAAGCTGCTGGGATTACAGGTGTGTACCACCATGCCCAGCCCTCTTAAAAATATTTCTAACATTCAGAGAAGTTAATTGACTTGCTCAGGTCCCACAGTAAACCAAAATTTAAACTCATGCAGGCTGACTCTAGTGGCTCTCTCATACTATTATTCTATACTGCCTGTGGTAGTATTACATTTATTTATTCAGTAGTGATTTTAAAAAGAACAAATTATCAGGACCATGCCCTGAATGGGACAAAACATGTGCAAGTCATATATTTGATAAGAACCTTATACCTAGGATATTTAAGAACTCTAATTCAATAATAAAAAAACAAAAACCCCAATTAGAAATAAGTCAAGGTTTGAATGGACATTTCTATTAGCCAATATATACATGAAAAGATGCTCAACGATACTGATAATAAGGAAAATGTGAATCAGAATCACACTAAGATAACACTTCACTGTACTAGGATGGCTACAGTTTTCAAAAATGAAGTGTTGACAAGGCTACAGGAAATTGGAACTTTAGTATATCACAGGTACAACCACTAAGGAAAACTGTTTGGCAATTCCTCAAAATGTTAAACATATTTACTGTATGACTTAGCAATTCTGCTCCTAGGTACCTATTCWCAAGAAATGAAAACATATATCCACACAAAAATCTGTTCACAAATGTACATAGTAGCATTAGTCATAATTGCCCCAAAGTGGAAAGAACCAAATGTCCAACAACCGAACCGATGAGTAGATTAAAAAAAATTACGTATATTCAAATAACAGAGTATTATTCAGCAACTAAAAGAAGTACTGATGCACACAAGTTAAGCATCTTTTATCTGAAATGCTTGAGACCAGAAGTGCTTCAGGTTTCAGATTCTGGAGTACTGGCACATACGTAAATGTATGTGTGTGTGCGTGTGTGTGTGTGTGTGTGTGTGTGTGTTAATAGAGAGAAGGGAATTTTACACATCTATTGGTGCACCTTCGTTTTGACTATGATCTGTCATATGAGGTCAGGTATGGAATTTCTACTTGTAGCATAATTTTAACACTTGAAAAGTTTGAATTTGGGATCATTTCAGATTTACAGACTAGGGACATTCAGCTTGTATTAGTACATGGACRAACCTTAAAAACATGCTTAAGTAGAGGAAACCAGACACAAAAGGCCAAATCATGTCTGATTCCATTTTTATGATATATCCAGAATAGGTACATTCATAGAAAGTAGACTAGTGGTTGCAGGGATAGGGTAGGACAAAATGAAGTGGCTGCTTAAGGGGTACTTACTTCTTCATGGGATAGTGAAATGTTCTGAAATTAGACAACAATGAGAATATACTAACAAATTGTACAACACTGTGAATATACTAATAGCTACTGAACTGCATACTATTAAATGTCTGAAATGCAAACTTTACCTGAATTTTTAAAAAGACCTAATCATCTTTACTAAGAACTCAGTATAGTTTCTTACAATTACAGAGATATTTTMCTTTTTCTTTTATGCTTTAGTATTAACTTGAACATATCAAATTACTACGTCTCATCTATAAAATGGGATAATGGTAGTACAATTCTAGGAAGTATGAACAGATTAAGAGAGTGGATATGCATAAAGCACTTAGAACAAACCTGAGGTGATAGCTCTCAACAAATGTCAGCTACTAGTAGTAGGGATGATGTGTCTGGGGTGTAATCAGAATGTGAAAAAATGACAATTTCCATTTCTCTCCAAATTAGTATCTAAAAGATGCTTCAAGGAGTGGCAGATATATTTCACTAAAATCAAGAAGGAAAAGGCATGATCTCATTTTATGTTATAGATGCTAGTCTAGTATTTAATTTTAAAATACAATAAAGAGTTCAGTCTGTGACTGGAATGAGATGCCAAAGAGTTCCAGGTATAACAATCCTGCTCTATCTATCAGAAATTCAAGAGGACTCCAGACACCAAAAACTAATTAATTTCACAAGATATGCTAGAAGGTCAACATGAGAGAAAAATGTGGAACTGCTGAAAGAGAAAATGGGGAATTTTCTAGTTCCTCTTGAACTATTAACAGATAGATCATGAGTCACTTCACTGCAATTCCTTTTTTTTTTTTTTGGTGGTGGTGGGGATTGAACCCAGGGCCTCGTGCTTGCAAGGCAAGCAATCTGCCAATTGAGCTACGTCCCCAGTCCCTCTTCACTGCAATGCTTAAAAACTGAATTTCTATGGTGGGGGTATGGCTCAGTGGAGAATCATGTGAGGTCCACGATTCGATCCTAAAAGAAAAAAAAACCCAAAAAACAAAAAACCCCCAAATTGACTACAAAACTTGAAATACAAATTAAAACACCAGACAATGGTTATGGACTCCTTTAGACTAGAAATAGCACTGTTCCTTCATACTAAATTTAATTTTACAGTTAATAGTAGCTGCTTAACCTGATGAAAGAGGGGGAAAGGAATGTTAGAAGTCTTCAGGCAAGTAACGGGAGCAGGCAAAATCAAACTGCTCAAGAGAATAAAAAACTAGCTTGCATAGTGATGCTCAACTAAAGTCCCAGCTATGCATGAGGCTGAGGCGGGAGGATACTTGAGCTGAGGAGTTCAAGACCAGCCTGACCAATAGACTTCACCTCAAAAATGGAGTGAGCATGGAGGTATAGCTCAGTGGCAGAGCGTTTGCCTAGCATGCATAAGGCCTGGAGTTCAATCCCCAGCCCACATACATACACACAGAAACAACACTGCATGTTTTTCATTTTTGTGTAGTGCAATACAGGCCAGGCAGCTGATAAAGCAGTAGATACAATTAGGAGCAAGACTAAGCACTATAGCCTGAAGGACATGTTCTCTGTGAGTCTAAAGTAGAAGGGACTATTAGATTGTATTATTGATTATTACACTGTAGCACTGGTATTGTATTATTACATCATGCTATTGTATTATTTTGCAGTGTTGCTCTTTCTCAGTTACATGGGAAGATAAATAATAGCATAGTAACAAATAATTATTAAATAACTACTACATTCAAGGAACCACAAGAATGCCTAGCAACTTACATTACAATACGTGAACAAACATTATCATTTTGTATGGGAGTTTAAACTATATTGCTTAGTCTAAAAACCGAAAACACAAGAAAATCTGCCTCAAGTCAAAGTATTCCAATAAAATTTTCCTATCTTTACAATAAATGGTCAAAAAGCAGATCAGAAATAAAGGATTCTCTAAAGATAAGGAAACCAATGGAGGGTGTACAAGAGCTACTGAAGAGGCATTATCACTATGATGATTACCAGGTTTACCTGTGTCTGTGTTTTTCATTCCCATTCTGAATCGTATCTGTTTGCCGTGAAGGACCTCAGAAAGGTGTTTAGCAGTCCAGTGTCGTGCTGGCCAATCAAAAACCATGTTACAGAAGATTGCAGGCTGTTGTAGAGACATTATAATTTCTTTTGCTTTCTCTGGGGTAAAAGGTTTGACATGTTGACCTAGAGCAGAAATGAATAGAGCAACAGATAACCATAAAGTCATTTCATATCACAGGCAGAAAAAATAGCTAATGACGTTTCTGTGCTAGCAAATCTTTCTATGTAAATTATATCATACTGACAGGTGCAATGGTTCATGCCTAAAATCCCAGCCGCTTAGGAGGCTGAGACAGAAGGATAGAGTTCAAAGCCAGCCTCAGCATCAGGGGAGGCGCTAAGCAACTCAGCGAGACCCTGTCTCTAAATAAAATACAAAATAGGGCTGAGGATGGGCTCAGTGGTTGAGTGCTCCTGAGTTCAATCCCTAGTAACAACAACAACAACAACAAAATTACACTGTACTTACAGTTCATCTATCACTACATACATATATACTTGACCTCAAAGGATCATAAAATTCTTAAATGATTTCTTTCATATTAAATTTTGAATGTTTTAATATGGTAAATATTTACCATTCTCCATGTCAAATATGAAACTTTGGTATTCAAACAAAAGGCTTTCCAACTGTTTTATATTTTAGAAGATGACAATTTTTAGAAAACATTGCGACTACAGCTGGGAAGTGGCTCAGTGGTGGAACACTTGCCTAGTATACACAAGGGTTCAAGCTCCGCCAATGCAGAAAGAAAAATTGTTTTATAATTTGAGAATTATGTAAAAAAGTAAGAAATGGTTGGATACACAAGTTAACTAATCTAAACTGTGCTGCTATAAACATTAATGTGGCTGTGTCCCTATAATATGCTGTTTTTAAGTCCTGTGGGTATAAACCGAGGTGTGGGATAGCTGGGTCAAATGGTGGTTCCATTCCCAGTTTTCCAAGGAATCTCCATATTGCTTTCCAGATTGGTTGCACCAATTTGCAGTCCCACCAGCAACGTAAGAGCGGGCCCTTTTCCCCACATCCTCACCAATACTTATGTTTGTAGTCTTAATAACTGCCATTCTGACTGGAGTGAGTTGAAATCTTAGAGTAGTTTGATTTGCATTCCTCTAATTGCTAGAGATGTTGAACATTTTTTCATATATTTGTTGATCAATTGTATTTCTTCTTCTGAGACGTGTCTGTTCAGTTCCTTGGCCCATTTATTGGCTCAATTATTTGATTTTTTTCTTGGTGTTAAGATTTTTGAGTTCTTTATATATCCTGGAGATTAATGCTCTATCTGATGTGCGTGTGGTAAAAATTTGCTCCCAAAATGTAGGCTCTCTAGTCACCTCATTGATTGTTTCTTTTGCTGAGAAGCTTTTTAGTATGAATCCATCTCATTTATTTATTCTTGATTTTAATTCTTGCATTAGAGGAGCCTACTTTTTCTTCTATTAGGTGCTGGGTCTCTGGTTTAATTCCCAGATCTTGACCACTATGAGTTGTTGCATATGGATTTCCAGTTTTCCCAGCACCATTTGTTAAAGAGGCTATCTTTTCTCCAATATATGTTTTTGGCACCTATGTTTAACATGATTATTTATGTCTCTTTGTCCTCTATTCTGTACCGTTGGTCTACAAGTATATTTTGGTGCCAATACTATGCTGTTTTTTGTTACTATAGCTCTGTAGTATAGTTTAAGGTCTGGTATAGTGATGCCACCTGCTTCAATCTTCTTGCTAAGGATAGCTTTAGCTATTCTGGGTCTCTTATTTTTCCAGATGAATTTCATGACTGCTTTTTCTATTTTGATGAGGAATGTCATTGTGGATCCAACCTAGATACCCTTCAGTAGATGAATGTATAAAGAAAATGTGGTGTATATATACATAATGGAATATTACTCAGCTTTAAAAGAGAATAAAATCATGGCATTTGCAGTAAATAGATGGAGTTAGAGAATATAATGCTAAGTGAAGTAAGCCAATCCCAAAAAACCAAATGCCAAATATCTTCTCTGATATAAGGAGGCTGATTCATAATGGAGATGGGGGGGTTGTGCAGAGCATGAGAGGAATAGATGAACTTTAGATAGGGCAAAGGGGAGGGAGGGCAATGGAGAGGGCATGGGGGTAGGAAAGACAGTGGAATGAGACAGACATCATTACCTAAATACATGTATGAAAACACGAATGGTATGATTTTACTTTGTATTCAACCAGAGACATGAAAAATTGTGCTCTATTTTATGTAATATGAATTGAATTGCATTCTCCTGTCATATATAGCTAATTAGAATAAATTAAAAAAAAGAAAGTAAGAAATGCTGATGGGAGGGCCTGGGGTTGTGGCTCAGCAGTGGAACGCTTGCCTAGCATGTGCAAGGCCCTGGGTTCAATCCTCAGCACCACATAAAAATAAATAAAATAAAGGTATTGTGTCCAACTACAACTAAAAAATAAATATTAAAAAAAAGGAAAAAGAAATGCTGATGGGAACTACTCTGAAATAACCAGAGTTTCTAGAGTCAGCCATAATTCTATTTGCTCTATCACATGTTAAATGCGGAAAAAAAAAAGACAAAACTAATACAGCAGTCAATCTGGAAGAAGAGAGGATTTTTTTTCACTGAAGTTTTAAGAATAAAAGATGTGCTAAAATGGCAACCCATAGTAATTCTTGGTTTCAATGCATCCATAAACAGTACTGGGTATACGTATAAACCAAAACTGACTTACTGAATACTTAAGTTTCACAGAACAGAATATTAATCCTAGGTAGGATAGTAAAGATTAGTATTCTTTAGATAAAAGAACCAGAAAGTGTCTTTCTTTCTCTCTCTCTCTCAGTTCTTAAGACTGGATCTAGGGCCTTGCCCATACTAGGACAATTTTCTACTACAGACAAATTTCTACTACCTCCCTAGCCAGAAAGTTTCTCTTTAAAGACATCTTAAGATGGAAACTTTGGGAGGTAGGTTAAAAATAGCTTCATACTCTGACCCTCAAACATATACTTACGGTTCTCAATAACAATCAGGAACCTTCTATTTTGGTTATTTAGCAACCTTCTATTTTGGTTATTTCATCTGTACTTATACCTAATTCAAAAAATTCCAAAGATCTCATAAATAATCTAAATGCCTTCCCCACCCAACCTTCTTATAAACTGATAAAGGAAGAGGATTAGGGAAGGACTCATGGAAGAACTTGAGTAATTTGTGCCTGTCTAAATGTAAGGCTCGTTTTTTAAAGGAAATGAAAAGTGAAGATGAAGAAGGCCCCTTGAGATCTTTAATGTGAAAGCCCCAGGTTTCTGTGACATTTACATGTTGAAAAGTCCCATAAAGGACAATATGATGTGACTAGAAATTAAATTTTGTCTTGACCTTAAAGATGGTTGGTTTTAATTTTTTTTACTTTGATGTGTGTGATAACTTTATTTCAAGGTATTAATCTATACCTGTCAACGTAAAGTACATAGCTACCCAGACTGCAATACACCCCATCTTCTTAGTGCCAGGATTCCATGTGGATAAAAATGGACAAGTTACACCTTTTATTATATATTTTTAAAGTTTTGTTAAACTATTGAGGGGAAGGCAAAACTTCTCCCCATCCTAAGGATGTCTGGCAGGGACTGGCATAAAACAGGTTAATAGGAGAAAAGTGTACTTTTACATGTCTATGGGAGCCCTCACAAGAGAAACGAAGACCACCCCAGAAGCAGCTGGATCATAAATGCTTAGATACCACGTTGGACAAGGTATTAAACTAGGAAAGCATGACAAGAAAAAGGGGCTTGGGCCAGGGCAGTTAAATGAAGAAAAGTGACAAGGGACATAAGGGTTAGTTTAACAAAGTCTGATTGCACAGATTTCTCTCAGCCTTGAGCCCGTAAGGTTGGTTTTAAAAATGACTTCCTTTTTCCTGGCATAGGAGGGTACCTTTCCCATAGGAATTTTTTTCTCCTGCTTTTGGGAGAAAAATGAAAGTCAAAGAACCCTTTTCCTGCATCTGCTGTTCTTCAAGTGTCTTTAACCCAAAATAATCACTATGTCCAAGTGGCATATTTTGATCCCCTAAACTATGAATGATACTTGCATTCGTGATATGTCATGATATGCTCTTGTTGTTCATGACACAGAAATTGGAACCATCCTTTGAGAATCAATGAGGAAAATTAAGTAAAAGTCTCAAAAGAATCATTCACAATGCCAGTAACTCAAATTATAGTAATTCATTCTAACAAAATAATTAATCGTATGTTATATACCTATCCAAATTGACATATAGTACACACATCTACTACCACTTTGTAACAACTAAAACTATAAACAACCTCATGCCTCAAAGTAGGAAAATGCTTAATTATGATATAGCAATCCCATGGTGAATCTGTTAAACATAAAAATGAAAACTACGTAGCAGTGTGTACAGATGTGGGATGAGAAGGGCAAACAGGGACTAAAATTAGCTCAAAGAGTTAAGGTAAGTCAAAGGAGAAGTGTGACAATAAGGTCCTAAACAAGGGGTGGCAGTGAGTATGGCAGAGATGGAGAATTAGTAAAAGAATAATATCAAGGACTATTTCAACCACAGATGTGGGGTGGGAAGTGGCTATGGTAAAAAGAAAGATCTTGGTGGAATTACAGACTGGTGACTTGCTGTAAGTCAGAAAAGTCAGAAGCAACAGCTTGTTCTGTTGATTTTGAACATGATCATCATTACATTACCATTTATTTGACTGAACAATRCTTAACTGTTTGCCATGTACTGTTAAATACATTAAAACAAAATGCTCATCTGATCCTCTAAGAAGCCTATAAAACACAGAGAAGGTATTTTATTTCTATTATCCAAAGGATGAAGTGGAAGCTCAGATGTCAGATGAACTGGAACTGGATATCAGGTCCCTTGATTCCAAGTCCAGTGTCATTCCTACTGCACAATCCTACTTCTAGAGAATTAAAACTGTGGGAATAACCTCAGTCTTATAACTCAGGAGAGAGAGGATGATCTGAAAAGGCAAAAATAAGAAAGCTTAAGATCAATTCATAGGCAATAATCCAAGTGTGCTCTGAAAAGAAAGGAATGTTTTGGGGAGCGACTGGGTTTCGGTATGCGC